ATGTTAAGTTTTTCTCTTTGCTAAATCTGTTCCGTGCTGTTGGTCTAGACAAAATGCAGCATTTTAACCACAAATCTCCTGCTGCAGTGAGAGAAATGTTCCTGACAAGTGGAAATGTGGTCAAGAACATGATTATAGAAGAAATAAAAAAAAGCAGGGTCTTATGGCCTTCTAATTGACGAAGTAACAGACATTGCTGTTACTGAGCAATTAATCACATTCATGCAGTTTTGGAACAGCACTTCTGGTGGCACAGAGATTAAGTTTCTTAGTGCTAATGATCTCCTTGTTGAATCTGATTCTGCAAATGCAGAAACCATAACAAGCACTCTTGTAAAGGAGTTAAATCAGTGTAACTTATCAGTTGGAAAGCTCAATGGCCTTTGCACGGATGGAGCATCAGTGATGACCGGAAAAACCAGTGGGGTAGCTACCAGACTCAAAGAGTTGAACAAACACCTTGTCAGCATTCACTGCATCTGCCATAAACTGTCACTTGCTTGCTGTGACACTAATGATGAGATCGCATACATGCAAGAAGTTGAGAGATGGCTTTTCCAGGCCTGGAAATTTTTTGAAAATTCCCCCAAACGACTTGCAGCATATCTAAAGACTCAACTTTCTGTGAAAAAGCTGCAAGAGCCTTCTAAAGAGGCTACAGATAAGTGTGTCCGTCGACTTGCTAAAGCTACTCGCACAAGGTGGCTCTCTCTGGGCAAGGCTGTAGAGGGTGTACATAAGGATTACATACCCCTCATGCTTACACTAAGGCAACTTGACCAGAAAGATGCCCAAGCATCAGGTCTTCTTGGAAAAATGTACAAAGTGAAATTCATTGGGGTGGTAACAGTCATGCATCACGTTCTTCCTGTTCTCAACAAACTCAGATGCACCTTCCAAGAAGGAAAGATTTCCTTCTCCCATATAAAGCCAGCAATTCAGAAGTGTATTGACGATCTTGACAAGACGGGAGTTCCAGTCACCGAGTTTCTTAGAGATCTATCACCTGGAGGCAGACTGGAACAAGCTGATCTCATTGCTTCTGATGGAAATGAGCTGTTTCTCAGCAATTTCCTAGTGAAATATGTCAATTCACTGAAAAAAAGCTTAAACAGCAGATTTCCCACCCTTCCTCTCCTGTCTGCTTTTAGCATATTCGACCCTGCACTAGTTCCAGAAAGGGGCCAGCCGGGATTTAGGGATTATGGCAGTGTATCAGTGAAACTCTTGGCTGAGCAGTTCTTTGATGAAGACAGCGACAAAAGGCAGCTGATGGATGAGTGGCAGGTATTCAAGTACGACTTGGCAAAATGGAAGAATGAGCTGCCTGAGGAAGTAAGAAAGCCCCCTGGTGGGAGAAAACCTACAGTCACTTCAACTGACTGGTGCCTCCAGAAGCTAATGTTCATGAAGGACCTGGTTCCATTTAATCTTCCACTGGTTGCAAAGGTGGCAGAGGCAGTGATTTCTCTTCCAGTCTCAAATGGATGGCCAGAAAGGGGTGCCAGTTCTTTAAAACTGATGAAGACAGGGCTTCGAAGTAGGATGAAGAATGACATGCTCAACGCCCTACTACACATTCTCATTAATGGTCCAAAAGTGGGAAGTAAGGAATTTGAAGAAGTGATTGATGCTTCTGTTAGAGCTTGGTTAGCTGCAAAACCACGGCGAAAGTGTCCTCCAAAGTTTGTCAGCACACCAGTGGTTGCCAGCGCAGGTGATATAAGTGAGAACTTTGTAACTGTGCAGGATGCTGGTGTATAGACGGAGGGTGACGCAGAGGGTGTCACGCCAAGTCACCTTTCAATTGCAGAGGAAGTTGATGCAACCTCCAAAGCACTTGAGCTACCTGCAGATGACGGTGATGATTCAGATTATGGCTCTGATTTCGATGACTTTTAGTTTAGTTGTTTCACCTAACACTGTTTATTTGTAAACAAAGTAAACAATTTAAGCCAATGAGTTAGATTTAATATAATTATTCATGTTATGGATTTAGTGAATTCCCTGAGTCTGCGAACAGTTGCAGTAGTGTTTTAATGAAGTCAAAATGCTTGTCAATTTAGTAAATTGTGAACAGTTACAGAAGTGTTTTAATGAAAGAACAATGTTTGTCAATTTAGTAAATTCTCTGAGGCTGTGAACAGTTGCAATATTGTTTTCCATATAGTCACTTTGTGCTAGTGGGTAAAACCTCCTTAAATTATTCACAATTTGTGTTTGCAAAATGAGGATGTAGAATAATAAATTTCCACCTCAGAATGCTGGAAAACGCATTTCCGAGAGTCTTATTTTAAAAATCATGTCGGTGGGGGTGCCCGCTTACTCTAAGACAAGAACCCTCCTACTTCAAAAGTTAATGAAACCCCTGCATACCCTGCAGGAACACGCACGCAAGATGACCAACCCCTTTCGACAGAGCATTACATCTATGTGTTGCGGATCTGATCAATGAGGGCAGCCATTGTGGCACAAGATGATGACTCATACGACTATTACCTAATGAAGGTGACGAGTAATAGCTTTGTGACTTTAAGAGCCGAGGAAACTGATGACTATGGCTGTCAGTTTCAAGCAGGGAACATAGTTTTGAAGGGCCAATTTTCCTGAGACATAACTTGACAGTCATGAATTATAAGCTCGATGTCAAGAAGAAAGCGATGGTTCATCCTGGAACAGTCCGTTATGTGTGCTCAGAACTTAAAAAGGAAGGAAAGGGTCGTAACGAGGTGTACCGGGTGGCAATGGATGTACACGAGGACATAATTACTTCATTGTAGCAAACGTTTGACACAAATGTTGTTGGTGACCTTACCGAAAGTAAACTGCACCTATGTTGTGGGCAACTCTGATTCCCTTGTGATCAAAATTTACCTTAATAATTAATTTATCCTAGTGTACAACCTTTTCCATAATTAAACTTTATCTGCTTTATCTGATAAAATACAGCTAAAACTTTGATTTGGCTTTATATTTGTTTCATTTGCATTTAAGACAATTTTTTATCAGAAAAACTAACCCGATATTGTTAAAAAACGTGAAATGGGCGGGACCTCATTGCATTCAGGGTACCACAGAAATTGCTCCAACTAATTTCAAATAGGTCAACAAGTTGTAATTTTATTATAGAAGTTCATTTTCTGTGCAAATAAATGATTTTAAATGAATTTTGAAGTTCATTCAAATTTTTTATATTTCCTTAGCATGTTACCCATTTGTACGTATGTACCGTGCTACTGATCAAAACACTTCATTTCTTGTGATAAAAACTACGAATTTATCACACGACGTTTAAGAAGCCTGAAATATTTTGCGGAGGAAGTTAAACGAATTGTGTGAATTAAGGAGCGTCTACCTTGAGCCGAGCGTTTAGATCATCTACAATCCGTATTTGATTTTTGTTTATTCGCTGCAGTTGTTGTTCACGTTACTGAGAGGTGAAGTCCGATCAAGCAGTACTCATTAAGTTCCTTGGACATATGAGTTAAACTGATACACCTAACTGCTTCCTTCGGTTATGTTGACACAGCATGAAAGTCAGCAGGATTACTGGATGTAGGCCTTCTTTGATCACCCCTGATAACCACTCCATGTTGCAACCATATTAAATTCTCATTCGATTTAGATGAATGAATGCTCAAAACAAGCTGTATGAATCTGTAACTTGCTTCCGAAATTGTTATAGGCGTATGAGCAGCCCAAGATGTTAAAAGCCACTTAACGAGACTGATAAAACTACGAATTTATCACATGACGTTTAAGAAGCCTGAAATATTTTAAGGAGGAAATTCAACGAATTCTGTGAAGGAGTGTCTACATCAAGCCGAGCAGTTAGATTGTCTGCAATCTGTATTTGATTTTTGTTTATTCACTGCACTAGTTGTTTATTTTGCTCAGAGCTGAAGTCCGACCAAGCAGTACTCATTAAGTTCTTTGGACATACGAGTTAAACTGAGGCAACCAACTGCTTCCTTCGGTTATGTTGACACAGCATGGCAGTCAGCATGGTGCGAGGTTGAGCCTGCCTGGCACTTACTTCATCGTATGCGTATGAAAATACATTGGAGAGCCATTGGGAGTGGTCTTTTCCACACACGGTCAAATTCTGGTGGCGACACAGATGGAATTCCTAGGCCTCTTGTTTATCAGAAAAACTAACCCGATATTGTAAAAAAAAAGTGAAATGGGCAGGACCTCATTGCATTCAGGGTACTACAGAAATTGCTCCAACCAATTTCAAATAGGTCAATAAGTTGTAATTTTATTATAGAAGTTCATTTTCTGTGCAAATAAATGACTTTAAATGAATTTTGAAGTGCATTCAAATTTTTTATATTTCCTTAGCATATTACGGATTTGTACGTATGTACTGTGCTACTGACCAAAACACTTCATTTCTTGTGATAAAACTACGAATTTATCACATGACGTTTGAAAAGCCTGAAATATTTTGAGGAGGACAGGGTTGGACAATAGGGCTCGCCCACTCGCCCAGGCAAGTGTCAAAAAGTGTCGGGCAAGTGCAAATCACCTACCACGTGTGCGACAACGTTGCAAGCGAATTGTTCATGATCAATACGTGTTCCCCTGGTAAGTTGAAAATTGAAGTGATTCCTTTCGGGTTCCGAAAGTCGTTGAAGAGAAAAAGAAAGAAAAAAACCCGAAAGCTGCTTGTGATTCAAGGGCTCAAAGGAGTACGAGAAGAACAGATCGAGGAAGTTTTCAGCGAAATGGCAAATTGGCCGGCCATGGTTGCAGCATGATCAGGATAAGGGTATGATATGCAAGTGGTGCATAGAAAACAAAGCAACGTTAATGGCACAGAATGTTTTTAACTCAGCCAGGTTTATCGATGGCTGCACTAGTTACAAAGCAGAGTCAATTGCCTATCACGAGAAGAGTGCAGCGCACCTTCTGGCACAGCAATGCCACAAAGCTAAAATACACCCAGAAAAAACGCCAGCAAATCTAGCCCGGCAGCAGATGCTTAAACAGTACACTGGCAAGCTAAGATTACTTTTCATAAATGCACACGCTGTATCTAAGAACAAGAAGTCGCTTGCAGACTACCGATGGTTCTGTGACTTAGATGAGGTGAAAGGTCTTGCTATTGGTGCGACGTATCGCAACAGCAAAGCTTGTGGTACTTTCGCCATATATATTGCAACGGCTGCCCAGAGTCAAGTTGCTGAGGAATTAACAAATGCAAAATTTGTCAGTGTGACGTCTGACGGTGCCACAGACTCTAGCATAACTGAACAAGAGATCGTTTTTGTCTGCTAAAGCAGCAAAGGTGTACCATTCACCAAATTTGTTGGATTGAAGCAGCCCATCAGTCCCAATGCCAGTGGTTTGCACAAAGCTATTATGGCGGCTCTAGGAGATGTGGGATTGGGTGAAGAAGATTGGAAAAAGAAATTGGTTGGGTTTGGTTGTGACGGAGCAAGTGTTATGGTGGGGAAGAAGGGAGGAGTATCAGCATTTCTAACACAGTTGCAACCCAGCTGCATCACCGTGCACTGTTTTGCCCATCGCCTCGAGCCTGCATACAAAGATGCAATGAAAGAGAACAAGCTTTACAACAGCTGCATTGTCCTTCTAATGGGATTGTACTACTTTTATCATAACAGCCCAAAACAGCGACAAAATCTAAAGCAGTCCTTTCAGCTTTAACCAGTCATCAGTTATGCCAACACGTGTGGGTGGGACCACATGGGTGGATCGGAAAAAGGGAGGTGGCGGCCTGTTGGTACGCATTCAAGAACAGTGTTTCTGCCTATAGGAGATCGACCTCTTGGAATGTAACAGCAAAATGAACCAATTCAATGATGTAACACTGGCTAAAGACTCTGCTTCATGTACATCTCTGGCATGCAGAAAAAACTGTCATCACCTAGTTTGGGTGTTGCATAACGTTTTCTAGTTTCCTAAAGACGAGCCATTGATTATTTAAAAAAAAAAAAAAAAACATTTACCCAAGCTGAATGGCAAAAAATAATTAACGCTTTACCTTTTTCACAATTGCCAAAAGTAACAAATCAGACATTCCAGGTTAATGTGTGTAAAACAACTAAAGAAGCTAAATGTGCTATATGCAAAAAAACAACATCACCAGGTGATCTTCAGCATACGGCAATAGATTGCTAGTTTGGATTACATCGTGTTGTCACATCAAAAGATACAGTCCTCTTCATTTGTTTGAACTAGCAAGCGGGGTTATAAGAATTCCGCAACAATAGGGTTGTGAATTTTTTACTCCCAAAGGAAAGAAGTTTGAGAGAAAATAAAATAGCTTGATGTCATAGAGATATGTCTCCCTGATTATGTTGTTCCAGATACAGAGAAGCTTGAGCTTCAAAGGCTCAGGAGAGACATTGGAAAATACTAAAGATCAAGATTGTTTATGGGACAACATATAGAAGACTGAGGTGGATAACTTTGAAGGAGTTCTACAAGGTAAGATTGTGGCAGTTAATCTTGATGGCAACTACAACCCTCCGCATCTGACCAAAGTGAGGGAGGTCACTAACTCCTTAACAATGCAGCTGCTTAAGGGTAGTTACAAAGGAAAGTGGGTATTATGGCCTGGATGGACTTCCACCCAAATTCCTAAAGAAAGTGTAATTTATTTTGATATTGAAGTAGATGAGAATGATAAACTAAGAAAGGGGTCTGCACAGTTCTTAAAGCTGAGGTACTAAGTATCAAAAAAGCGATGAAATGCATTTTCATGCTTTAATGTAGATAAAGGCTTTCCACTGAAACTTCGATCAATAGGTCTGCTTATTTATTGGTAAAACAGTAATGTGGTAAACTGTAAGATATTGAATGTCAGTTTCGTACCAACATGTCTAAGATGGAAATTTTTGGACATGTCTATAACTACTGAGTTAATAATATTCCAATAACATTATAAAATGTAACATGTTCGTTAAGCCAAGATTAATCCAAACGTGTGTAGAAATTTCCATAGATCTGCAAAATGTCTAGTAACGTACATGGTTAAACGCAAGATGTTTGGTTATGTTTTATCCAACCAACATCGCTAAAACCTTCCTCAACCTAATCGAGAAACACTTCCCACCAAACTACAATCCTCACCCCGTCTTTAGCAAGAACAACATGAAAGTAAGCTACAGTTGCATGCCGAACATGGGCAGCATCATTAACAACCATAACAAGAAAATTCTTAACAACACCACCACCCCAAAAAACGGATGCAACTGTAGAAAAAAGACCAATGCCCGCTAGATAACAACTGCCTCATCCAGTGTTCTCCAGAAGCGCCGGCGGCCGGCGTTTTCGCCGGCTACTCGTGTATCAAGCGCCGGCTACTCACGTTAAACAAAAACAAAGAAAAATTATCCTTTAGTTTCTGTAAAATAATTTCGCACGTTGCGTGTTTTCGGCTAAAAATGTCAAGTACCAAAAACAGTACGCGTTCATGTTATTTCCGAAGGAAACGATAAACAATAGCTTAGTCTAGTACGCTCCAGGAAGATAACAATGGAAATGTTATTTTATTTACCTGAAGACAGACATCTACACCGAAAATAATCGTGTTAAAGTGCATTGGCCGGAAGCTGTCAATTAAACATCAACTTTTGCCGCAATTCTGTCAAAATATTTCGTAATTTCCATCGTTCCAGTTCGTTTTTCGGAAAGAGTGGATGCGAACAAATCGACAGTACGATCCCGTCATTACGACAAGAAAATTTACATTGAGTCTTAGGGAGATGTCAAAGCGAAAATCCGTGGAAAATCAAATGAGTGGGAAAAGAGGAAAAATAACAAGTTTCCTTATTCCCAAGGAACCAAGAGAAATCGGTAAGTATATTAAAAGGAGGTTTAAGTCCTCATACATTACCATGTGCCATCCGATCAGCTGTTCGGTCGCGCAATGTTAAACTTGTAGGTTCGTTCGAGATAACTTCATCCCGAGGTGGTTTGCAAGCATGTGAAAACTCTTATAGGTTAAGAAACACAATATATTACAAAAACCAAGGTAGATATTCACGAGTTTACATTTCCTTCCTTGTCGGTAAAGAGTAAGCACACGTGCACACGACCAAGAAATGGCGGCCATGTTGAAAGTCGGGCCCAGTCTCTTCGCATCTACAGAGTTTTGGTTTTCGCGCCTGACGAAAGAATTCAAGTTAATCAAGTAAAATTAAAAAGAAGGAGAATCAAAAACTTCGATTTGAAAGCTTTCAATTTTGAAACAAATTTAATTTTTGTAAAATAGAGTTAAAAAATAAACGTCATCTGTTTTTCCCCACTCTAAATCATTCCATTTTAGCTTCATCTAGTACTCAGCAGCTCTCTCTTGAAAATGCAACTACCTCTGAACAGCAATGCATACAAAGTTCCTGCAGTGCTGGCGGAGAGCAAAGGCCAAGTTCTCTTGAAGAAAGCACAAATCTAATGCCGGACATGTTACCAACTCCAGAAGCAATCTCTCTGTTAGAAGAGTATTTTTCAGATGCGATGGAAAAGAAGCAGCTTCATAGCTTCTACACCTGTTGTGGCAAATGCTCAGACGTATCTGAAGTTGAAAGAGCCAGAATTCAAAGCCAGAAAAAAACAACAGAAGGGAAAAAGAAAGGAGTGGACATGTTCAAACACTCATGGCTCACTGACAGAAAAACTTCATTCTGCGACAAAACAGGTAAATGACACAGTGTTTTGTCAATATTAAAACATTTTCTGAAAAAAATGTTTACTTTATTATAAATTCAGTTCTGCTTTTTACAATGACTACAAAAAACAATGCCTGTTTTTTTTTTTGTTTGTTTTTGTTTTTTTTAATCTCAGGCATGTGGTGGTTGGTGTACTGTGAAGGGGAAGGGATGTTCTGCCTACTGTGCCGTGTTCATAACACCAAAAACAAGTATAACAAACAGAACATATTCAACTTAGCACCATCCACCAACTACAAGCATAGTGCTGTTAGTGACCATGCAAGAGCCAGTGGACATACGTCGACAGTAATCTGTGAGTTGGAGAGAAGGAATTCATCCTTGGCTAACCAGTATAAAGTGGCTCACGAGGTGGCTGATAAAGTAACCTACAACGCATTCCTGAGCTCTTATTGGCTTGGAAAAGAAGAAGTGGCTAACAAGAAACTTCTCTCCCTGATTGATTTGGAAAAGCACATTGGTGTCACGGAAATGCGAGAATTCAAAAATACAAGTGAACGAAGTCAGCGGGAGATGCGCCTCCTCCTTGGTCAGCTTATCAAGGAGAAACTGATTCAAGGGTCAAGGATGCCAAGTGGTTTAGTATCTTAGTTGACGAGGTGACGGATTGTGCTACCCTAGAGCAGCTGTTGATCTATGTTGGTTATGTTGATGAGGAAGGGAAGACACATTTTGATTTTCTTGAGGTGAAAGATGTTCTTGAGACATCAGAATCCGCAGATTCTGAGACTCTCACAAGGATCATCACTGAGGAGCTGAAGGCCTGTGGTCTAAACCTTGCTTTAGTTTGTGGTTTTGGCTCAGATGGTGCTAGTGTCATAACTGGCAAAAATAATGGTGTTGGTGCCAGGCTTCAAAAGGTAAGTAGCATCATGGTGCGCAGTCACTGCATTAATCACAGGCTTGCCTTGGCATGCAGTGATGCTAATGACACTGTGAAGTATATCCAGACCATTGAAGTTACCCTTCGTCAGTTGTGGAAGTGGCTGGAGTATCCAAAACGTTGCTCAGCATTTGTGAAGGTCTGTGTGTCACTTCAGAAAATAAAGCTGGCTAATGCTAATGATGACCCTGCAAAACAGAAAAAACTGTCCAAGTCTCTGGCAGTCAAGATACAGAAAGCTTGCAGGACGCGGTGGCTTTCAACTGGCCAAAGTGTATCAAGCGTCTGCCGAAATCTTGTTGCCCTGATGCAGACATTGAGGCAGTTTAAGGAAGCTGATGCTACAGCTCAAGGTCTTCTCCAGAGAATGAACAACACCAAGTTTGTTGGCACGATGCTTCTATTGAATGCAGTTCTACCTCATCTTAATACCCTTAGCAAGCTGTTCCAAAAAGATCACACATGCTACACCTCCATCAGACCTGCACTTGATAGCACCAAATCCAGAATTTCTGAAATCCGGTCCTCTTTTGACCTTGTTCCAGAGTTGCAAACAGCCATTCAACCAGGTGGAGACTATGCTTCTTTGGAACTGGAGCTTAAAGATGATGGCCAGGTAGAGGCATTCCTGAAAAATCTAGTAATAAACTACACCACTGCCCTCGAGAGGAACCTAGATAGAAGATTTCAAGAGGCTGCACCCGTTCTTGAAGCATTTTCCATCTTCGATCCGACCTGCCTCCCAAAGCCAGAAGATCCAGCCTTCAAGAAGTATGGTGTGGATGAAGTAAACGTGCTGTGCAAGCAGTTCCAGTTTGACAAAGATCACACACTTGCGCAGTGGTACAACTTCAAGTACCTGATGTCATCATGGAAGGTACCCTCTGCTGTTCTCAGGGGAAAAGATGACCTCTCTCCAACTGAGTTCATTTTAAGAAAAGTCGTTAAAGAGCAGGTGGCTCACAGAATCAACTTCCCACAAATTGTGGATGCGGCTCAGATTTGCCTCACCCAGCCCATGTCCAATGCAGTTGTAGAACGGGGTGCAAGTGCAGTAAAGAGGGTAAAGAGCAGGTTGAGAAGTCGACTCAAGAATGACATGATGGCCAGCCTGCTCCACATTTCTCTAAATGGTCCCGATCATGGTGACGAAGAGTGCAAGGAGATGCTTGTAGAAGCAACCAAAGTCTGGAGAAAGACGCACTTCAGAAATCTACCATCACTAAAGAAGCTCCCAATGGTTGGATAATCAGACCATGAAGGCAGTCTTTACCATCCAGCCACAAAGACTGATATTGGAGTACAGGTCGAATTTCCAGATGACCTTCAGGCCTCTAGATCAGCCCAGGAAGACAACGAAGTATCTGTGGAAACTGAACTTGATGCTAACGTCCAGGTTGTAGCTCAGGCAGTTGCCAGCAATACTGATTTGTGTCATGACGCACTGGATGCCATGGATATGGGAGATGTTGAATCTGGCGTTGATTCAGACTTTGAGTTTGATATGGAAGATGATTAGTTATCTCAAAACTTTATCAACTTAACTTATGTAAATCGAGTTTCACTTTGAATTCACTGAGAGAAGTAAAAGGATAAATGCTGTGAACTAATAAGGAATGATTGTATTGGTATTGGGAGACAAATAAGTGAAATAAATAATTTCTTTTATCACTACAGACTCCAAATATAAACAAAAACTGACAGAAAAATTACACATTTTTTCCTGCCACAGAGTGCCCAAAATGCCTCAAATTGCATCTCCGGAGACCTATTTTTAGAAAATTTTCCGGGGGAGCATGCCCCCGGACCCCCCTTCGGGCACTCGCCATACACCCGCCGGCTACTTTACAAATTGGGCTGACTACTCCAAAATCTGTGGAGAACATTGCTCATCACCAAGGTAATCTACAAAGCCAACGTAACCACAGACAAAGGCAACACAGGGAAGAGTTACATCGGACAGAAGGAACATTCAAACAACGATATACTATCATTCTGCAACAGGACATATGCTAACTCCACACCTTTAAATTATAGTTTTGCTCTTACAGGCATGTCTTTTGGAGATTTACCTCTTTTGTAAGATATGATCAGTGCTTTATAAAGGTCATTTGTGACATGTTACAAGATTTGCACATTCAATGAACACCTTTTGCTTATTATTGCAACATTATTTGCGCATACTTAACTACAAAGCCATATCTGGGATTTCTATCTTAACGCTTTCATGAAATGAAGGTGTTTCGTGAAGCTGACTTGAATGTGATGCCAATCTGCACTGAAGGATTTGGTCTAACTGCCCTTGAAGCAACTTCAACTGGTCTTCCTGTGATTGTCTCTATTTTTATAATTTTTAACATATTACAAACAAAATTTTATGGTTTCAATTGACACCGTCGCAACGTGATTTGCTAATATTGAGATCATAATGAGCTAAAAAACTGTATCTGGGATTTACCACTTTTAAATCAATGAAGATGTTTCATGAAGCCGACTTGATTGCAATGCCTGCATGCACAGAAGGATTTGGTGTGAAGCAATTTCAACCAGTATGCCTGTGCTTGTCTTTGGTGAATAGCAGAATGGACGGTGGAATGTCTGTGGTTGTTTCCTCAAATTCACCCGAGGAATAGGAATTGACTTTTCTAATTATGATTGTTAAACAGAACGGGAACTTATTCTTTCTCTGGGATTTTCTGGGGTTTGTATTTCGCGCTTTGACGAAGTAAAGAAGATGTTTCGTGAAGCTGACTTGATTGTGATGCCAACCTGCACAGAAGGATTTGGTCTGGCTGCCCTTGAAGCAACTTCAGCTGGTATACCTGTAAATGTCTCCAGTTTTAACATTTCGAACATTAACGAATGGGGGCATATTTTTCCACGCCAAGGCGTTTTAAAGATGACGCTTTCAATCGATACCTTTTGGTTTCCGTCACAACGTGATTTGCACATACTGAACTACAAAACCATGTCCAGGTTTGTACTTTAACATTTCAACAAAATGAAGATGTTTCGTGAAGCTGACTTGATGATGATGCCATTTCACACAGAAGACTTTGGTTTGGTTGCTATGGAGGCGATTTCAGCTGGTATTCCTGTGATTGTCAACGAGAACGTCTCCGGAAATTGTATGTTAAGGAAATGCAGATGTTTCATGAAGCTGACTCGATTGTGATGCAATCTTACACCGAAGGCTTTGGACTGGTTTCCCTGGAAGCAATTCCAGCTGGTATGGTGGTGTTTTACTTCAGTGAAGAGCAGAGTGAATGTGGGATGTCTCAGATTCACCAGAGGAATATCGATAAGCCAAAGGTAGCTTTGTCTTATCATGGGAACTTATTCTTTTAGAACGGGAACTTATTCTTTCACGCCAAGACGTTTCACCAGATTTGCACGTTTAATTAACACCTTTCGCTTAACATCTCAACGTAATTTACGAATACTTAACTACAAAGCCATATCATGGGTTTCTATCTTAACGCTTTAACAAAGCGAAGGTGTTTCGTGAAACTGACTTGAATGTGATGCCAATCTGCACAGAAGGATTTGGTCTAACTGCCCTTGAAGCAACTTCAGCTGGTCTTCCTATGATTGTCTCTATTTTTATAATTTTGAACACATTACAGACAGGTACCTATTCTTTCATGCTGGGACATTTTTGGGATTTACGCTTTCAATCAACACCATTTGCTTTTCATCGCAATGTGATTTGCCAATATTGAGCTACAAAACTGTCTCTGGGATTTGTATTTTACTGCTTTAAATGAATGAAGATGTTTCATGAAGCTGACTTGATTGTGATGTTGGAGCACAGATCCTGCTCTTAGCTCTACAGTTTTTCCCTAGCGCAATGTCCAGGGATCGATTCCTCCAGATTCTGCGATACTTACATTTAGCAGACAACACCCAAGCCCCCAGGGCTGACTCAGCTGGTTACAATAAATTGAACAAAATTCAACCATTCCTGAACTTGGTAATACCCAAGTTTCAGCAAGTGTATAAACCTAACAGGCAGCTTGCCGTCGATGAAACTTTGATAAAGTTCAAAGGGAAAGTACACTTTAGACAGTTCCTTCCGATCAAGCCAGGGAGGTTTAAGTAAGGCCTTTACTCTCGCAGAGTCTACCAGTGGCCATTTGTTAAATAGCAAAATATATACTCCCGAGAGACTTAGGTAGAGAGGCTGTGATGTCAGTCATGGAGCCTTACCTAGACAAGGGATATTATGTCTTTATGGACAACTATTATACTTCCTTTGCTTTGTATGAGGAACTTGAAAAAAGGAGCACTCTTGCATGTGGAACAGTAAGATCTAACAGGTTAGGCCTGTCAAAATAAATTTGTGGCCCAAAAGAAAAGAAAGTAAAAGAGCCTAAAAGGGAGAAAGTTTGTATACGCAGAAGGGAAGTGTGACATGCGTGACCGAAAACCAGTGAGCGTTTTAGCCACCATTCCCACGAGTGAAGCAGTGAAAGTGAAATGAACTTGGGGAAAAAAGGGACTCTGCTAGGCCAGGTGTAATTGGCCTCTATAATACTCACAGGGGTGGTTTAGAAATGGTTGTATCTTACACCTGACTCATGAGGGGGGTGGTCTGGTATTTCAAGGTTTTTTTTATCTGATTAAAGTGAGTAATTCAAATGCACACATTTCGCATTGTAAATCCCCTAATCGTGCCTACATTTCAAGTCTTGAGTTTAAGAAGTCATTGCTTAAAGGGCAAATCCTTTAAGAGAGACACAGGAATTCATCACATCCCAGTCTCTATCCCTGATATCAGGTTCAACCGTGACCATTTCCATCACCTTATCAGTCGTGACACCAGATCTACCTGTAAGGTACACATTCAACAAGTGAAAACTACATACACCTGTGCTGTTTAAGGAGTAAGAATGTGTCCAGAACCACATCTCAATAGATATCACATATTACAAGTTTATTATTTCGATGATGACCGTTACCATGGCCCTAGACGACTGAAAGAGGGAGGAAGGAGGCCTTTTCTTAGGGGAAAAAGGAGATCACTGCGAAATTAAACATGTCAGGGTTTGTTGCAGTGTGCATTAATGAACCTGTGAAATATGTGATTGTATGGATGAGTTGATCGAGATTAACTAAAACTGTATATCTCGTCAAAAGTTACATAATTTTACCTTTTCACATGTAATTATACAGCTTATTTAAGCACTAATTTTCAAACTGTTTAGTAGAAAGACACTTCTGCAGCTTATCTCTTGAACTTTAACTTTTGAACGATCAGATATTGCAAAATCGTGGATTTATGAGGAATTTTTCATCTGCTTTATAAAATTTGCATAATTATGCAAATTATGCACGCCGTGATATCACGTGATTTCATATATCCTAGAATATTTTTAATTGATATGAACAAGAATTTAATACTCTTTGTGAATATATATGGTTTGTGAGGTTTCCATGTAATGTACTTGTTTGGCAAGTATTGTAACGCATAGTGCTTGTATTCTCTCAAATTAACCCCACTCCCCCGTAGTATGCCAAGGGTTAATCCACACCTTTAGGTTTCCATCGTAATGTGATTTGCACACGTTGACCTTTAAAACCGTTTCTAGAATTTGTATTTTAACATTGTAACGAAATGAATATGTTTCGTGAAGCTGACTTGATTGTGATGCCAGCCTGCACAGAGGGATTTGGCCTGATTGCTCTTGAAGCAATCTCAGCTGGTTTTCCTGTGCTTGTTTCTAGTGAATTTGGAATAACAAAAGCTCTACAAAGTGTGAATGTCTGAGGTTGTTGCCTCAGACTCACCAAAGGAAGAGGAAGGCCAACGGTAGCAGGCAATCAATGGTCGCTACCTATAAAGGAAATTTACAGGCAGTGAAATTCATATGAGAAGGGAAGGACTTCAACCTGTATAAGACATCGATGGATGGAATATGTTACATTCTGCCACGCAGGGTCGTGTGCCTGAAATCATTGCTCTGATCCTTTCTCACCCGCTGGACATTGACCCAAGAACCGCCAAGGGTTACATGCCGCTAACTGTTGGGGCTTTTTTCCCAAAGGTAATTATGTAGCAGCGAATTTGCTTCATACAAGGGGAGCAACTTACAATCACCTTGAATTTTTCTTTTTGATTAAGTCTAATATGATTGCCTTATAGTAGAGAAATTCATAACATGAATCTTGCTTAGCCTAGCTGTGTCATTTGTCTACGGTTCCGAAAGGCAGTGAAGGAGATGATTAATGAGTCAAATCATTTATCAAAGAAACTAAAGTTTTAACTAGGGCTGTTTTAGAACCTGCTGCTAGAAATCAGAACTACTGAATAATTATCATCATGTATCATTCATTGATTTTGTTTTTCTCAGAATTTTTTTTTTCGTTGGTGATCTGTATAGTTGAAGTGAGTAAATAAAATATCGCAAAAAAATAAATTTTTACCAGCTTCAGACCAACAGTTGTTAATAACAGTCGGGATTTGCTAAGCAGGCCAACATCGCAAGCCAAAGAGCCAAGAGTTCGGAGAGCCAAGGAAAGAGACCAGCTGGCCGACATATCGTGACAAACGAAATTTAGCAATGACACTAATTAAATGTATTAACGAAAGTAGTAGGATGGAGTCAATAGTTCAAAGGAAAGTACAACAACTTTTGGTTTGTTCATGCTGAACCACACTCCAAAGAACCAAA